GCTATTGATTTCTCAGGCGCAACAGCTGTTGATATGTTTGCTGGGGCGCCTAATTTTCCAACAAGTTTTTCCACACTTGATTTGATAATGTGTCGTAAATTTTCCTGCACTTGCCATTTCACTTTTCGCTCGTGAAAATTTTCACAATTAAGGCGCATTTAATGACGTGTTGCTAATATAAACACAACACTTCCTGGCAGACGTCGCGTCAACCCAGCCCAGCTCAGCCCAGCCTAGCAAACCACCGCCTTCCCTCCCCGCCGTCTCCGCCCATGGCCAAGCAACCAACCAAGCATCCCCTCTGCTGTCAGCCATCAGCATCCACAGAGTTTCACAGCTGTTGACAACGTCCAGTTTTACCCAGTCAAAGTTACCAAAAATCTCTGCCTCAAGTTGTGCGCTAATTGAGCGGAACGTGAAAATTTTTCCTAATTAAATGATTTCCTCAATTATTACGACATACCCCGGCCCTGCCCGACCCGTACGAATCTGAAAATTCCAGCGTTTCGCAAATGATATTTTATGCGATGCTGCAACATTTTGAAATTAGTATCTCAAAAGTTACGATTATTGCGCGCTCCCTCGGCACAATTATCAAGTGAAGTGAATTTTAAATAGGCCTGCGCCTGGGCCCAAAAACTTTTGTCAATTCTCATAAAAATCTCCAAAGTTTACCAAATACTTCCCATTGGCTGCGCGTGGAGCACTCCCAATCAGACGACAGCCCAAAAGTATGCTACAGAAAGGTGCGTTTGACAGCAAATGGAAATTAAAAATATTTTATTTATTGCATTTTTAAGGGCGCTACGAAAGAAATTATCTGAGCGGGCCATTCGAAATGGGGATGCAAAAAATGTAGTAAAACGAAAAAATATATTTAAAAAATTCTTGAGTTAAATAATATTCATATTTCACTTATTAATATATAATTATTCCCATTATGAATAAATCTTTAAATAATTACCTATTTAATTAATTTCAATAATTGTTTTATTTATTCATTAAATATTTTTAGGTATTCACAAAAATTATTATTCACACACAAAAGAAACAAATAAAAATAAAAATCTAAATACTAACTAAATACAAATTTAAATATAAAATAAATATCACCGCGTCCATTATAGCAAATGCCAACTGTATTACAAAAGAAAGCTTAATTATTTGTGCATAAATAATTATCGTTTGCTTAATAAACAATAAAAACTCGCTCTAGCAAAAGCAAACAAATATGAAATCAAATTAATGAATAGTCGTTTATTTAATAAAAAAAATCCATTGACAAAATATAAACTGTCGTTTAATTGTTTATATTTAATCAACTGTTTAACTGGCGAATCTTCAATTGTTTACTCTTTACCTAATTTTCTACGTAATTTGCATTTGCATCTGTATGTTTATATAGCGTAACTGAACTTGCTGTTGTTGTTGTTGTTGTTGTTCTTGCAACACACTCACGACTCAGGGCCCGGCAGGGTGTGAGTGGTCTAACTGATCTGACTCTGAGTAAGTCATAGTAACTGTGATCAGTGCTTTTGGCTGACTCTCTGCTTCTTTTAGCCATGAGTCGAGTCGACACTTTTGACCGATTCGCATTGAGTTTGCAATTTCAGTTTGTCTGGCAACCTGACTGCGACGAGTTGGTTTCATTTTCCAATTCCAAAACAGTTGTCAAGTGCACAGAAAATATTATGAAGTTTGTGTAAATAAACCTACGTAATTATATATGTATAGTATTTTTATATAGTTTGAAATACATAAATGTAAGAATGGAAAATTTTTCAAAATACTAAAGAAATTTATCCTAAGGGCAATCAAAGGATTTCGATAAAGTGAAAATTGATGAGATATAAATAATACGCATAAACTATATATTGTATATAAATACCACGCATATACATATATACCATTCATATGAATATGTGTATATAATGAAGTTGAACTTATAAAAATTATATAATGCTATACATTCAATTGCATATATTTTATTAAAATATTATTGCAAATCTGTAAGCTACATCAACCTTTTACCTTTTTCTCCGTTTAAAACTAAACATTTGCCATTTTTAATCGAAGCTCAACAATGATTTGCTTGAAATTATTTCAGTGAAACTAATAACGTAATCTTCATTAATTAACGTAATCTTCATTACAAACAGCAATTAAGTACAAATGTTTTTTAGAGAAATAAAACAACAAAAAGTGCAAGAAAAACTTAAGGGCTTTCTGAAGGGCAAAGATTGGATGTTTATTTGTATGTGTGTGTTTGTATATATAATATATGTACATATCTATGCATGTATGTATGTATGTATGTATGTATGTATGTGTGTATGTATGTATGTATGTATG